AATATTTGCATTTTTAACATTTGTAGCATTAAACCTGTCTTCCCGAGTTTGCATTAAAATTGCTTTAGTGACCAACTTTGAATGCTAAAGGGTAAATAAATAAATCAAAATCTGTCCTAAATGATAACTACTTGAGCAAATGTAATAATTTTGCTACAGACTATTGAATTAATTTTCATATCTAACAAGTTTTTCTCCCCTTAATAAGTAGGATGTACATACACCAACAATTTTACCAGTTTACAAATAACATTCTTTAATGATTTTTAAATGATTCTTAATCCTGTATAGGTTTAAATGTATGAAATCTTTATGACTGAGGAATAAAAATCCTTTACTGTGTCCTTTCTAAACACAGTTTGTCTTTCCTTTTTTTTTGTTTTGTTTTGTTTTGTTTTGTTTTTTGAGACAGGGTTTCTCTGTATTGTTTTGGAAGCTGTCCTGGAACTCACTTTTATATTCCAGGCTGGTCTCGAACTCACAAAGATCCGCCTGCCTCTGCCTCCTGAGTGCTGGGATTAAAGGTGTGCGCCACCAACGCCCAGCTCAGTTTGTCTTTCTTGATGATTCTTTTACACTGTGATTTCTTCAACTTCTTCCAATGTTGCGGAGATTAAAACCATAGTCTCAACTGTTTTATTCACAGAGCTATAAGAAAATGTTGCATGTTTGCCTGCAGGCCAGAAGAGGGCCCAAGATCTCATTATAGATGGAAGTGAGCCACCATGAGGTTGCTAGGAATTGAACTCTGGACCCCTGGAAGAGCAGTCAGTACTCTTAACCTCTGAGCCCTCTCTCCAGCCCAGAATAAAAGAATGGAAAAGTAGAGGAAATACAGAAGGCTTTGTAGTTAGGTTTTCTGGTAGTGAGCTCTATAATCTATTTCTTATAATTTCTTATATCAGTCAACATATTTTCTGAACCACCATAGATAAATGCCCAAGTCATACCATATCTATGACACTATCTGGATTATTTTCCATAGTGTATTCATTTGTTCCCAGGATTGGTGGTTAACTTAAATATACTATATGTATTTATTGTCAACTCATTTGCCAAGACTCATAAAAGTTATTACAGGTTGACAAATAGCATGGAGGTAAAATAACACACGTGGGTTCATCTTTGCATTCTGACACTTAAATGAGCTTGGAAAATTTGATTATCTCTAAGCTTTAATAAAATCCTCAGTACAGTACAATAGTGAGGAAAAAGAAAGAAAGAAAATGTTGCAGTCTAGGGGGTTTGGTCTGGTTTATTTTCCTTACCAGTTAAAGAATTAAAAGACAGGAAGAGTCTGGGGCAGGAACAGGGAAAGCTCAAATAGGAGCAGACAAAATTAGCAGCTGAAAAAGGTGATAATTGGGGATGAGGAGATAGGCACTGTAAAGTAGGGGGTGGGGGCAGGACTCAGAAGGTTCAACAATCCAGTTTCTTCTCAAGGACTGGGGTTTTTAAAGCCTCAGAGGAGTTTTCTCCCCTAAGTTAGTGCTGGTCACTTTGAAGAAAGATGGGGTGGGTGTTGGCCCCACAAGTGTAGTGTAACATGTCCTGATCTTGCCCTGAGCTTGTGGATCCATTCCATCATCAGGGAACCTTCGGGTGGCAGAGAAAAAAAATGAGGTGGTAATGCTACCATGAGCAAATGAAATCCTGAAAACTTTTGGTGAAACTTTTGTATTTTACTTTAAGCATGAAAGAAAGTAATTATGAAGATTCATAATCAATAGAAGAAATAAGATTTAAAGTTTTTTTCTTTGTATATATTCAGTGCGCATGGCATTTATTATGTGATGTAAAAACATTTATATGTAAGCATATGTTGTATATTGAGCATAGTCACCCTTTACCATGGCATTATTACCTTTTACCACTAGAAAGTTTTATTCTACATTCACATTATATATATATATATTCACATAATATATATATATATGTATATACACACGATTTTATGTATTTATGAAAAATCTAGAATACACATATAAAAGAAAACCTAAGATATTTTGCTCTCTGAGAGTGGCTTTATCCACACAGTAAGATTATATTCAACTGTATCCACTTTAATGCAAGTGAAATAACTTCATTCTTTATTATTGGTTGAAAAATATTGCATTATGCATGTGTACATTTCATTCATTTCTCTATTCTTGGCTTCCTATGTTTTTTTCTATAGCTTTGCTGTTGTGAGTAATGCTGCAAGAAAGATTGATGCGTAAGTATCTCTGGGACATGGTTACTGGTTTCAATTGCATAAATATTAGAAGTGTTATAATTGGGTTATATGGTAGACCTACTTTAAGGGTGGTCTTGTTGTTGTTTTAGTGTATATATGTGCATGTGTCTTTATAAGTACAGTCCATGTGGAGAGATGCCCTCAGAGGTCAAAAGGAGGTCACACAACTTCGGGAGCTACAATTATAGGTGCGTGTAAGCAGCCTGACAAGGTTGCTGTGAACTGATATCAGGTTCTCTAGAAGAGCATGAAGCCCCCTAACTGCTGAGACATTCCTGCCTCTGCTCTTCCTGTCTTCAGCATGTGTTTGAAAGAAACTTTGTCCCGATTTCCATAGCCATTGGACTAGCTTACATTTTACCACTTGGTGTGGAAGGGTTATTTTTTTGTCCACAACCTTATCAACATCCATTGTTGTTTTCTTTATGGCTGCTGCTATGACTGGGATGAGAAGGAATCTCGGTATAGGATTAGCTTAATTTCTCTGATGCTTAGGAAAACTGGACCTTTTTGTTTTCATGTCTATATTGGCTGTTTCTGTTTCAGTTTTGAAAACTGTAGATTCATTTTATTAACCCATGTTTTGATTGAGATATTTGAGCAATAGTTTTACTTTTTAAATTACTTTAATACACTGAATTTTAATTCTCTGGCAACTGCATAACTATCAAAGATACTCTCCCATCCTGAAATCTTTCTCTTCACTCATTGTACATTGTGTTTGCTATGGAGAAAATTTCTCATATAATGATGTCCCATTGGTCAAACACTGACATTACTTCCCCCGAGTGATCACATACAGTCTTATACAGAAAGCACTTGCCTATGTCTATGTCTTAAATTGTTTTTCTTAATTTTTCCTTTAGTAGCTTCAGTACACGCATCTTATACTAAATATTTGGGGTTAATCCTTGCACATAATGAGCGATAAGAATCTAGTTGCCTTCTACATGAGAATAGTCAGTTTTCCCTAGCACTATTTGTAAAACAATCAGTCCTTTTCTGTAATGCATAGTTTTGGCATCTTTGTTCAAAAGCACATATCTAGATCAGCATGGGTTTGTATATGAGTCTTCTGTTCTATTGCATTGATCTACATGTTTGTTTATGTCTCAGTAACCTGATGGTTTTGTTACAATAGCTCTGTAATAGATCTTGAAATGGATTCTGGAGACAGCTCAGCACTATTCTTATTGTTCAGAATTGGTTTTGCTACTCAAGGTCTTTTGTGTGTACATATGAATTTCAAGACTGTACTTTCTATTTATGGAATGAATGCTGCTGGAATTTTGATGAGGATGGCCTTGGATCTGTGGATTATTTTTGGTAGCATAAGCATTTCACAATACTAATCCTTTTTATGCATAAAGTTGCAGGTCTTCCTGGCTCTTAGTGTCTTCTATTTCATTTGGTAACTTTTTAAAAAATATGTATTTTTGTTACTTCTTTGAGAATTTCATTTGGTATGTTTTCATTATCTGCACATCCCCAATTCCTCACCAATTTACCCCCACTTCCCAACCCACCAAACCTTGAGTCCTTTTTAAAAGAAATTGAAAATATATATATAATTTTCCCCCTTCCTTTTCCAACAACTCCTCCAATTATCATCACCATCTACATCCAAAAATTATAGCCTTTTTTCTCTAGTGTTATTGTTATAGATGTATATTTCTTTATGTAATAGTTTATCAGTTCTCATGTTTGTTCTATACTATTGCTCAAACCTATGTTGTGTGTTGCCATTTCTTTCTTATTGATCTGTATTTATGTTGTATATTATTTAATTTGTAAAGTTGCATATATACCTAAAATTCTATTATAACATCATCTTATCATATATAACTTCCATCCAAAATGGAATCTCTTACCCATAGTATATAATGTAAATATGGGTTCATGTAAATGACATAAAATTTAACACAGAGAAGATTAACCATATGCTTCCAAAGTCCAGGAAATTACTAGAATCTGAAGGAAAATTATGAAATCAAATCATCCCTTAGCAACATCAGCAAATGTGTGGCTCAGAGGACACATTACATTGGGGTTATGGCTTTCCAATCTATCAGACAATAAATAGCTTCTGTTTAAGTTTGTGTTACTTTGTAAAGAAAGTTATCAAACACTAATTAGTAAAGTAAAGCTGTCTGATCAAATTAGGTCCTATTAACAGCTAATTGTGATAGAAGCTGTAAGCAATGTGTGAAACAGAGTAGCTCTGGACACAGTAAGGTGGAAGGATAATGAACACACTGGCAGAAATGACACGTAGATATTAAAGCCCTTTAGAAAAGAAAGAGTGATCACACTTGTTCCTAACATTTGTGCCACATGGCGAATTAAATGCACTCGCCTTGGATTGCTGTCTTTTCAATCATCAGCCCTTAAATGGCAGCTGTAATTCACCCCTATGCTGTTACTTTCCATCTTCTACATTCTGTTTTTCTTTTTCTTTTGTATGACAGTTCCATGGAAAGCAAAGACTTCTGCACCTGCAGATGTGCAATGATATTTGCTGAGTTACTCACTGACCTGAGAAGGATAACAGGGAACAGTGGACCCTCAGCTTTGGGGACTATTTTGAAAAGGGGGTAGAGTGATTTTCTTGGACTAGGAATAGGTTCAGTGTCCGATAACATACTTCAGTGTTGAGGAAATAAACACGAACGAGGTCTGTAACATGAAAGAAAGTATAGAACATAAACTAGTTATTTTTTTACCGTATTTAAGAAGCAAGAGGAATAACAGTGAGAAAATTTATTCAGATTAAAGTTACTGTAACAGAACAAACAAGGGTGAGTTACTCAGACTTGCTGATTTTGAGAACTAAATTTGGTTGAGAAGAAGTTGCAGAGTTGGGAGGCAGCTCAGTTGGTTGCCATGTTCTGTAGACTGGGAGGTTCTTGTTGCTCATCATGAGGAGTCTCAAATGTCTCTGCTCAAAAGATGGGTATATCAAAATGAGTCATGAAGAGAACCACACTGAGAAAGAATCATAGACATTCCCTCACCTGTTGGTAACCTTTTAAAGGAAAGCATAGATAATTAGCATATGATTATCTTCACACTTCCCATAATTCTTTTCCAATTGTCTGTACATTGAAATTGGCAAAATACTTTGTAATTTCATACATACTTTCTTCTATTGTGTTAGGTGAGGATAAACAGATGTTAATGTATTAAAGTGTAGTCTTAATGAAAGAGAGAATGTGTGGTCACTGATTTTTGAACTGATGTATTTATGATGTTAATGGATAAAAGATGACATGTGACATATTAACTACAAGACTCTGATTTTATGGATTATGGCTTTGTACCATTTTTATATGAAAATTGTATTTTCTCAGTGGTTGTTAGCTCTGAGATAATTGTGAGAGTAAGGTAAGATGGTCTAGTCCAAATATCCTTTCAAGTTTGTTTCTATCACAAGCTTCTAGAAAGAATTATGTGATTTAAATTCTGACAAACTTTTGTTGGTAGAGTCTCAACAGTGCCGCAGTAGTGGTAAATACAGCCTTTATATTATGGCACAAGTCTATACTCTTAAATTGTTACCAAGTATGAATCAAAACAGTCATGTACAGTGACAGCCTGACAGAATTTTAATCACAGTTTCAGGATCTTGTCCTCAGATGTCTTTTTCTGAACTTTCCCTTCCATGTTCTTGGCACTCTGTGTGGTGATGCTTCTATTTTCTTACTTGATTACTTCCTCCAAACATAAAGATGTTTATGGAGGGTTAGTGAAGTAACTCAGTTGGCAACGTGTTTGCTGTGCTGACACAAGAACAGGAGTTTAATTGTCACCACACCTCTTAAAAAGCCATGCATAACAGCATGTGCTACTAATCCCAGATCTGAAGCAGTAGAGACAGTTCATCCACAGGGCTTGTTTGCTAGATAACCACACTTAATTGGTTGGCTGGTCCAAGAGAAGACTCTATTTCCAAACTAATATGGGTGGAGCCTGAGAAACAAAACCTGATGTTTGCTTCTGCCACCTAGATATATGCCATGCACACTGGCACCTGCACCAGAACGTGTGTACAAGCACACCTACACACACTCACATGTCCTCAACACACACTACCCAGCATGTGAAGAAATACCCAAAGCACATACTACACATGTACAAACACATTCCTATACCATATAACGCATCATATGCATACAGATACCTCTGTAGACACCACTACACCAGCTATAAATAAATAAAAGTGTTTGGGTTTTACAATTTAAAGTACCATTACTTGTAAAGAGAAGCTTTTTCCTTGAGAGAAGCCTTCCCGACAGCCTGGTTCTAGAGCCCCATCAGTCCCAAATAAACACACAGGAGGCTATATTAATTATGAAGCTGTTGGCCTTGCTTGTTTCTTACTGGCTAGCTCTGACTTAAGTAATTACCCCATAATTGCTAATCTAAGTATGTCTCTTACCGGAGAAGTTTCCGGGCTTCCTACCTCATGGTGTTACATCTCGACTCTCTGTGTTTCTCCTTCCCAGAGTCCTCCTGGACTCCTAGTCCCACCTATCTAGATTCCTATTGGCCAGCAGTGCTTTATTGACAAATGCACAGGACTTCCCCCGAACATCTCCTCTTTTCTGTTTAAACAAAAAGAAAGGTCTTAACTTTAACATAGTTAAATTGTATATAACAGAACAGTTATCAAATAAGAACATAGTTACAATATTTTAGCAAGATTCATCCCATCCTTGTGAGTCCAAAGTTCTATATGTAGCTTATCTTTTATCATAACTAAGGAAAACTATAATTATAACTATCTGTCTTCAACTCCATCAAAGACCACAGAAGGATAATATATAAACACTAGGATTGACAGAGACATCTTACTGTCTGGACAATCACCCGAAGTTCCTCTGTAACGTTGGGGCATCCATCTTCAGCCCACAGGCCACAATGTGTCCAGAAGATTTCTCAGCAAAGCAGGAAATTTCAAAACTGTCCATCTGCATTGGCAGTCGGTCAGTCATTTTTCTTTGTCCTGCAGAAAGTCTCGTAGACTCTTCCATGAAGCAGGAACCCTGTAAGACTGAGTTCAGCTGTCACTTTCCTGTGGGTCCTGCATATCCAGATTATACAGCAACAGTCAAGCAGTCCAGGCAAAAGCAGTTTCTTGCCCAAATGGCTAATCTTGCCATGTTGAAAGCAAACTCCATAACGAGTTTCTTCGATGCCTATCTTCCTCTCAGACATAATTGGTGCTGCCAGGAGCAGACATTTCTCATTGTCAAGAAAAACCCTAAACCATTTTAAATGCCATTTTCTGAAGGTCTTTGAGAGGTTTGAAGACTGTTTATCTATCTCAAATATATTCCTGTATATCTAGAAAACCTAACTTACCTAACTATAAATTCTATTATAAGTAACTATCTATAGTGTGTATTCAATTATGCATTATGTTTTAAAAGATCAGTATAAGCACAATGCTTAATCAAAAGGAGAAATATACACATCATAAAATTGACCTTGAATTTGTATCAATAAATGAAAAACAATACCCATACCATAATTCCCCTTTTTACCATTAAAAAGAGATTGGTTGTGACCATTAACCAATTATAAACAAACAATCCCATTTAAATGAAAACAAAGATTTATAAACAAGATGGGAATTACGACGTCGCTCATTCCAAACTGCTTCATGCTGGAAACGGGCGCTGTTCATTTTATGGGGATCATGACAAAACTCAGAAACCTGTATAAGTCCTTATTTTCAGTGTCTGTGAAGCTCCATCATCTTAGCTGTCTCAATTGTTGGAACACCTGGCCCACTGCTTCCGGGGGTCTTGGTTCATCAAACCACAGAAGCCTGGAAGGAATCCTCAGCTTTTCATTTTCTGTAGAAACATAAGCAAAATCTCCTTTCCCAAGTAACATATCCTTATACTTAAATTTTGAAGTCAAGGCATTTTTCAAAAGATATAAGTTGAATTAATTCAGCAGCATTTATAATCAAGTATACTTTAGCAGTTGTTCCTTCCTTAGCAATGAAAAAACTGAAAAACACAATAGCGTACAGTATCCAGACTCTCTGTGTATTTTCCATCTTTATGTGGCTTATTTATTTATCTATTATTATTACTCTATTTCTTTTACTTTTATTTCTTTATTTATTTCTCTGAGACTGGGTTTCTCTGGAAATCTGCCTGCCTCTGCCTCTGCAGCAAATCTTACTCTGCCTCCCAAGTGCTAGGATTAAAGGCATGCACCACCAATGCCAGCTTCTCTATTTTACCACTATGCCTTTTCGTTTTCTCTCTCAATCTTACGTATATGTTTAAACACACTGTAAACCTTTAGAGGTTTTTTCCATCCAAGTCTGACTTTACTGTAAAGCTTTATGTTTTTCTGGCCACGTGTTTTATCTGTTAAAACTGCAGCAGTTTAAACTGCCGTTTTTCCAAGATGGCGGGCATAAGCGTGACTCCAGCTGCCGGCTTGGAGATGTGGTCACTGCCACTTCCAGCTATACGTACTTACCTTTTAATTGTTAGTACAGACTCTTAAAACAACCTTGCTGGCTGGTTTTTTTTTTCTTTTTATGCAGAGTCAGGAAGACTCCGGTAAGCGAGCCGTGTGAATCTCAGCTTGTCGCTAGCAAAACAGAGCCCACCTGAGAAAAATGCTGCTACCAAAAATCTGTACTTCTCTCTGTTCTTCTGTTTCTAAAATTCCTTTAAAGCTTTTGTCATACTACGTGGAAATTCATCATCCCACTCCTGATCACCATTTTGTAAAGAGAAGCTTTTTCCTTGAGAGAAGCCTTCCCGCCTGCCTGGTTCTAGAGCCGCATCAGTTTCAAATAAACACACAGGAGGCTATATTAATTATGAAGCTGTTGGCCTTGCTTGTTTCTTACTGGCTAGCTCTGACTTAAGTAATTACCCCATAATTGTTAATCTAAGTATGTCTCTTACCAGAGAAGTTTCCGGACTTCCTACCCCATGGTGTTACATCTCGACTCTCTGTGTTTCTCCTTCCCAGAGTCCTCCTGGACTCCTAGTCCCACCTATTTAGATTCCTATTGGCCAGCAGTGCTTTATTGACAAATGCACAGGACTTCCCCAGAACATCTACTAAAGTCAATAATAACAACTTATGAAAAGCATTTGAGGAGCCTATGTGCTGTTGAAGACAGGTAGAAAATTAAAGGAAAACTATAAAAACCATAGGAGCATTTGAGAAAAAATATACATCTTAGGGACTTTGGTCTTCAGGCTGAACTGTGTGTGACATGCCCTCATCTCCACTGGTTTGAACAATGTAGTCAGTAGTAGTGAGTCTAAAGCTTCACAGTGGGGATGACAGGCACAATTTGGGGTGTTTGTAAAGAAAACAAAGAACAGTTATGACACATCTAAAAGAATTAATGAGCTTTGGGTTAGTGATTGACTTTCTTGTGTAGAGGCACCTCAGTATCCCCCATCACCAGTGTTTACTCCATAGATATTTCAGCCTTCATTTTACTCCACATGACCAGTAACTTTGGAAATAATTTTTCCTTAAGAGATAATGAAGTGTGAACATCCTTGAGTATCAATTTAGCATCCCAGATTCCAAGATTCTGCTGGCTTCAGCTTTCCTAGTGTTCAGTTTAGCCAGCCATGGTGCATGTTATGGTACACAGAAATTATTTTGAAGGACACTGGTGCTTTGACACTAGCTTTGCAATTTGAGGGGATTAGAGGAAGAAAGAAAAGTTAATGGCTTATTCAATGAAATACATATTAATAGCCATGAATAATCAATGAATGTGTATCTTTAAAAAATATAAATAGTTCATTCTTTAAAATGTGAGTGTTGGTACTTATTCTATATTAGCATGAATACCCCAAAAGTCTCTTTCAGCTTCCCATTAGCACTCTTTTTAAACTACCTTTTTAATGAAAATGTTCACAAATGTACAGTTATTTT